AACAGATAAACATCAATTTTTGTGTGTCATGTGGTACGTTTAATGCAGCACTGGTTCAAATTAGATGTTTGTGATGTCAAAATACTAAGTCTATAGTTTTGTATGAATTAGAAACTCAAATTACAGATATTGACAAGCTAGAATATAAAATAAGGTCTTATCTATTTGCTAAGATATTTCTCATGTAATAAATCAAACACAGTGGCACCCTGCCCACCTCTTTACTTTTTAGGAAATGCTCCCTTATATACATTTACTTCCATAAGAAGTCTATATGACATGAATAACAAATTGGAAGCTCAGAATGTCCCCCTATTGGCTCTCTCAGCTATTTTAACGATCTTGGCACCATTTCTTTCTTTCTTTTGAACCAATGTTTCAATGAGGTAAGGCATGTCTTTAGTCTGCTCAAAATATCATATTTTTTTAGACTGAAATATATCTTAGTTACTAAGCTTGATAAATTATAGTGAAATTATATGGTATTAATGTAGTAATTTGATTTTTTAGTTATTCAAATGTATATATAAAACCTAAAGAAAAATATTTTTCATATCAACCTTAGCAATCGAGTACAAAGGTCATAACTAGAAGAAATAATTATTTGCTTTACTTCTTTAGTTACTGTTCTATGTTTTAACAAAAATAAGGTTAAGAATTTATTTCAAAAATAGCAATATTCTATACATATATAATGTATAATAATTGAAATGTGACTGTATTTTCAAAATACTAGTCTACTAAAACAGCCAAGACAGGTCACTTTGTACAGACCAAAGGTCAGTTTTATATTATTTGATACGGTAACATGAGTACATGTGAGCCTCATTAATTGTAGCTTCTGTATTGTTAGCCAGGCACGGTTAAAAGGTCAATATAATAAAAATAATAAATATATAAAAATGTATAATGTTATGAGATTTAAGCAATTTAGTCTAAACATTTATGTTCTCGTGTTATAATTTGTGTTAATTCTAGAATGAAAGAGGCAAAATTTATACTTATTTCCTAATTTTTTATGGTGGTTGCAAGATCGGTCAAATCTACTGAACCCATACAGAGATTAATTACTGAAAACAACATAAAATATAAAGTTTTTCTTAAGAAATGTTTGATAACTATATGGACATTATAAAGATTTTGCATGTGAAATTTTAAAATTTTCTGATGCATAAAAGTATTTTTAATCTTAAAATGAAAATTACTTTGCATGATAGATAGGCATGATGTGAAAAGAAAAAAAAAGGCATGAGAGAAACATTGCTTTTCAAACCTTATGACTTAATAAAAAAAATTAAGTATTTTGCATATGAAAGCATTGTAATGTTTACTGATAATCTGCCAAATGTTGTTAACATTCACTTACTAATTTAAAAGTTATAGCATGAAAACTATAACAAGCACAAAATGCTTACGACCTCGTCACATTGACTGACCCCTACTGGAAGAGTTAAAGCCTCACTAACTGTTTTCAAGTTTCTTCAATGGTAGTAGACAAGACCCTTGACTTATCCTTATAGGTGTTACCAGTCTAGACTGTCTTTTATTGGTCTATGGTTGTTGATGACTACTTATGCTGACTTTGTGAGACTACTGAACAGAGAACTACTTGGAAAAATTGGGCTTTTGCATAGTATAATTACTTACATGTGTTTGATAAGCTATCAGAGGTGAAATTATACCCAAGGTGAATTCTGTACAGACACATTTCTGTATTTGATTTTTTTTTTGTATATAATGAGATTGCATTGAGATTTAATTTCCTTTATGCTTTCCAGTTAGTTCAGTATTTTATCATTTCAACCATCCCTGACTCCACCTTTCTTTCAGTTGCATTTTTGTTTAATTTACATCTTATTTTTTCTAGATGAAGCAATAATTTTTCGTTTATTGTATAACTGTCTTTTCCTTAAAGCCACTACAGTAAAGTTCACACTTTTACATAATTTTTTTACAATTGTCAAAATATAAAAATCAGTCACAATGTAGATGGCCTAGTATGTAAAGTTTTATAAGTGAACTTTCTTTACATGAAAAAATAACTGAAAGGAATTTTTTTATAGAAGATTAGAACTGAAAAGCTTTTAAAGCACCATTTGAGTAATTACTTTCATTATGTAATTATTTACTACCATAATCTGTTATCTTATTCATAAATATTTAGTACTAGTGGAATGCACAATGAAAGCTTCACAAGAGTTCCTTTTATGAGAGTTTTTATTAAGATTTTAGATGTATGAAACATTTTGAAATGCATTTACAGAAACTCGTATATAAATTTTTCTTATTTCTATGATGCGAGTAAATAAGAGTGTAATCATTCTTTTTGTAGAATACCACTGTAAGACTGATGACAAAGTCAGCGACATTGTACCAATTGCTGTTGGGTGTGCTCTTGCTGGTCTTGTTCTGACAGTTCTTGTTGCCTACTTGGTTGGTCGTCGTCGTAGTCGCCAAAAGGGTTATCAGTCAGTGTAAGCTGTAATGGATATTTATTATCCACAGACTAAGATTCTACGAAGGAGCTGTTGCTGTGTAGTTTACACCCTACTCCATTCCTCCGTATGAGGTCTCCGTTTTTGCTAATCTTACCCACTTCAAAATGTAATGCATTTGCTATATATTTTAGTTAACATGAATGTGTTTTAGAAATTCAGGTTGGGTTTACATTTTGGTGAAAGTTGTATTTCATATAACCATCTATCTTTATTGAACATTTAAGAAACTGTTTAAGTAGTTTTGCTTTTCTAATTGAAATAACATACAACTTAGGTTAATATTTAAGTGCCAAGTTTTTTTTTTTTGTAGCTCAAAAACTAATCTTGATTTCTTTTAATGGTCTGTATCTGTCTTTAAATATAATGAATTTCTTGGATCTGATATACTCATTTTATTAGGATATGCTTGTTTGTTTCATAAGATCTTCCTATCTAACACTGACAAAGAGAAATACAAGTCACTGGACTGTAATTAAAATCATTGCTTAAAAGTGTTACAAGTGAGAATCTGACTGTTTTTAATATTTTAACTGAAGGAAATACTACATATACTAGTTGTAAAGTTTTTTTAATATATACATATATATAATTTTAATTATCTTTGCATGTTAAATATTTTATAAATTCTTTTCCTTTGATTGTTGAAGAGAAAAGCTTTAGATTAAACATTTGTTCCAATTCAGTTAGTACAGGTCTTGAACAGACTCAGTTCACGTATATATTCATTTTGCAAAATGTTATTTACATAGTTTCATATTTTGCTATAGATACTTTGACTGACAGCTGAATAGCTCAGGAATGCTTAGTTTCAGAAATGCAATTTCATGTCCCTGTAGTACTATGTTAAACTTGTCACAATGTGCAGCTCAATGATGTGACTTAACACACATTAATTAAAGAAATTTAAACCAAGACACTTGTCCCATAGTTAAATATGTGTATAACTGTATAAAATCTTGTGTTGATTAAAAAATATCCAGTTGTTTTAGTATGTTTATGATAGATCATACACTACTGCTCAGTGGCTTTAAAGAGGTATGTCTGCACTGTGCTATACTGTTTAGTCTTCAGATGTTCCACAATCGTGTAATCTAGCATTTGGAAAGAGTTCCTGTTTAATTTGTTCAAGAAGAAAAACAATCTAAGGTTGGTTGGTTAGTTTATGCTGAAAAAAACCTGCTCCTTGGAAAAATTGTAGAATTTAAAACATATATATATATATATGTGAACATAACAGAACAAGATTTTATAAGGTAGAACTTTAATCTGTACTATGTGGCTTACTGGTGTGTTATCTGCATTATACATTTGAAATAAAAACTTTTTAACATAGCTTGCTCTAGTGTTTTAATCTATCACCCCTAGATTTCATTTTATAACCAACAGCACACTTTTTTCTCTTAGATATAGATGTAACATTTTATAAGATAATTTTTGGATGTCTGATTAATTTTGTATTTGATCATGTACAAAAGAATAACTAGTGAAAAGGCCAAGTATGTTCTATTAAAACTACTTTGGAGCTGTATCACTTCATTACAGTCTGTAACTATAACCTCAACATTAGGGCAGTCTTTAAGCCACAAATCCTTTTAGTATACAATATATTGAATTATTTTGTTATAGAGTGTACTTGACATTTCTGGGATCAAAATATCACGAACAGATATGTAAATTATTTTTAGAACAAATGTTTATAAACCATTTTTTTATTGATGATGCTTGTCATGGCCAATATACAAGTTTGCTTAATCATCAAATAAGATGCAACATAAAATCAAGCTAGTGAATACAATATTCTTTGTATAGAAAATTACAATGACACATATTTTCATTGTTTTTGTCCAATTTGATTCATGCCATATGTTCAGTTTGTCAACCAATGAGAATTTGCCACATTGCTATTCACACACCTTAAAAAAATTTTACATTCTTCTTGCAATCATATACTGTTACCTTGTTCACAATGCTTTAAGAATGCAGATGTGCTGTTTATCTTAGAGCAAATGGCAAAGGATGGGGGATAACCTCTTGCTGAACCTTATGATGTAGAACTGAGAACTAATGAAAAGAAACTGTATGCATCTGAATAAAATGTTATTTGTAATAAATACTACCAGTAGTATTTTCAGTTTAAACAATCACTGTCTATCATGACCCAGTCACTACATTTGGTGACCCTGCTTTTGTGCTCCTTAACAAGCATTAGCCAATGTCTGCAATTTGTAGAGTCCAAAGCATGCCAAGTGTGTTGGATGCCCTAAACATAGGAACTCAACTGTTATTCTTATTAAAGCCAAAACAGAGATATTGCCACAGTCACATAGATTGACAATTTTTTGTACAGATTCCAACTGATTGAATCTTAGCTGAAGGTCCACACATTTGAACAATGAATTTACTAGAAAGCATGCAAATGACTACACAGATTGGCAGGGATAAACTGTAATTAGCCACAGAAAGTTTCAGATGAGCATTCCATCTTAAAAGGTTAAAAAGATGTAATATTCGTGTGAGATCTGTATGGAATGCTTAGCTTTCCTATTTTTTAAGCTTTATTCTGGCTTGTCAAGCAACACACAACTAAATAATCCAATCTATCACCAAAGAGTGCTCGGCAGTTGAAACAGTCAGTAGCCACATCAAGTTATTGGATATGGTGTTCACTAAAAAAAATAATCCTTTCATAGTTGATTACATCCAGATTGTCAGTGCCCTTTGCAGTTGTTAATGTCCTAATCTGGTAAAAAATGTAGATGACTACTGTAGCAAAACATGTATTCGAACTATCCAAACAAACTGTAGCACATTCTGGAGCCCCAAGAACTAGCTTGAACATGGCCATAGTAGGAAAAAATGGAATCCCATGATGCAGCTTTGGACTTGCCAAAACTGTCTGAACATGACCATCAGTCTGTTACTTATGGTGTTTACCAGCTTAAAACATACAGAAGTATACACCTGGAAAAAAGTTAAGCACCCCCGTGTTTTTTCAAGTGATTCAGATTCGACGTTCTTGTGACTGATTATAAATTACCATTCAATCTAAACATGTTTATCAAATGAAATTATGCA